CAACAACAAACAACAACAAACAACAACAAACAACAACAAACAACAACAAACAACAACAAACAACAACAAACAACAACAAACAAACAACAACAAACAACAACAAACAACAACAAACAACAACAAACAACAACAAACAACAACAAACAACAACAAACAACAACAAACAACAACAAACAACAACAAACAACAACAAACAACACAACAACACAACAACAAACAACACCAACACAACAACAACAAACAACAACAAACAACAACAAACAACAACAAACAACAACAAACAACAACAAACAACAACAACAACAGCAACAGCAACAACAACAGCAACAGCAACAGCAACAACAGCGACAACAGCGACAACAGCGACAACAGCGACAACAGCGACAACAGCGACAACAGCGACAACAGCGACAACAGCGACAACAGCGATAACGACAACAACAACAACAACAACAGTAACACCAGCAACAACAACAACAGCAGCAGCAGCAACAACAACCGTAACAAAAACAACAAAAAACAAGAACAAAAACAAGAAAAGCAACAACGACGACGACGACGACGACTACTACGACAAAAGCCGACAAAAGCCTACACAAGTCGACAACAACAACAACGACAACAACATCAACTTCAACAACATCAATTTCAACATCAACCGCAATACAAACATTTACTGGCACGCGCTCACTGACATGCTGTGTCGGAGGAGTTTCTACTTTTATGTACGCACTTATATTTTACATCCTCCGTCCCCTCCTTCGCTCCGTTCTTGGTGCGGCGTTCCCCCATGCGTGCGTTGTGTCCGCGTGCCCCCTGTTATATAGCGCAGGTATTATGTTGCAATGCGTAGGTCACGGTAGGGCTGTGCCGCGTGGTGAGCAGTTAATTGATCTTTAATCTGATAAGATACATAATTTCATGGCTGTGATGATTGTGTTTCGGCCAATCCGTTTGAACATCACAACGAACCACAAGTTTAAATAAAGAGTTAGATTTTAGATGATGGCATTGTGGAAGGCAAGAGGGGGGAAAGTTTAAATAAAGAGGTAGATTTTAGATCATGGCATTGTGGAAGCAGGGGGGGGAAGTTTAAATAAAGAGGTAGATTTTAAATCATGGATTGTGGAAGGCAAGGGGGGGAAGTTTAAATCAAGAGGAAAGTTTAAATAAAGAGGTAGATTTTAGATGATGGCATTGTGGAAGGCAAGGGGGGGCGAAAGTTAAAATAAAGAGCTAGATTTTAGATGATGGCATTGTGGAAGGCAAGGCGGGGGAAGTTTGAATAAAGAGCTGGATTTTAGATGATGGCATGGTGGAAGGCAAGGGGGGGAAAAGTTTAAATAAAGAGTTAGATTTTAGATGATGGCATTGTGGAAGACAAGCCGGGGGGAATTAGATGATGGCATTGTGGAAGGCAAGGGGGGGTAAAGTTTAAATAAAGAGGTAGATTTTAGATGATGGTATTGTTGAAGGCAAGGGGGGGAAGTTTAAATAAAGAGTGAGAGTTTAGATGATGGCATTGTGGAAGGCAAGGGGGGGAAGTTTAAATAAAGAGTTAGATTTTAGATGACGGCATGGTGGGAGACAAGGGGGAAAAGTTTAAATAAAGAGGTAGATTTTAGATGATGACATTGTGGAAGGCAAGCCGGGGGGAAGTTTAAATAAAGAGTTAGATTTTAGATGATGGCATTGTGGAAGGCAAGGGGGGGTAAAGTTTAAATAAAGAGGTAGATTTTAGATGATGGTATTGTGGAAGGCAAGGGCGGGGAAGTTTAAATAAAGAGTTAGATTTTAGATCATGGCAGTGTGGAAGGCAAGGGGGGGAAGTTTAAATGAAGAGTTAGATTTTTAGATCATGGCATTGTGGAAGGCAAGGGGGGGGGAAGTTTAAATAAAGAGGTAGATTTTTAGATCATGGCATTGTGGAAGGCAGGGTGGGGGGAAGTTTAAATAAAGAGGTAGATTTTAGATGATGGCATTGTGGAAGGCAAGGCGGGGGAAAGTTTAAATAACGACTTAGATTTTAGATGATGGCATTTTGGAAGGCAAGGGGGGGGAAGTTTAAATAACGAGTTAGATTTTAGATGATGGCATTGTGGAAGGCAAGGGGCGGGGAAGTTTAAATAACGAGTTAGATTTTAGATGATGGCATTGTGGAAGGCAAGGGGGGGAAAATTCAAATAAAGAGTTAGATTTTAGATGATGGCATTGTGGAAGGCAGGGGGGGGGAAAGTTTAAATAAAGAGTCAGATTTTTAGATCATGGCATTGTGGAAGGCAGGAGGGGGAAGTTGAAATAAAGAGGTCGATTTTAGATGATGGTATTGTGGAAGGCAAGGGGGGGGGAAGTTTAAATAAAGAGTTAGATTTTTAGATGATGGCATTGTGGAAGGCAGGGGGGAAGTTTAAATAAAGAGTTAGATTTTTAGGTCATGACATTGTGGAAGGCAAGCCGGGGGGAAAGTTTAAATAAAGAGGTCAATTTTAGAAGATGGTATTGTGGAAGGCAAGGGGGTGGAAGGCAAGGGGCGGGGAAGTTTAAATAACGAGTTAGATTTTAGATGATGGCATTGTGGAAGGCAAGCCGGGGGGAAAGTTTAAATAAAGAGTTAGATTTTAGATGATGGCATTGTGGAAGGCAAGGGGGGGTAAAGTTTAAATAAAGAGGTAGATTTTAGATGATGGTATTGTGGAAGGCAAGGGCGGGGAAGTTTAAATAAAGAGTTAGATTTTAGATCATGGCAGTGTGGAAGGCAAGGGGGGGAAGTTTAAATGAAGAGTTAGATTTTTAGATCATGGCATTGTGGAAGGCAAGGGGGGGGGAAGTTTAAATAAAGAGGTAGATTTTTAGATCATGGCATTGTGGAAGGCAGGGTGGGGGGAAGTTTAAATAAAGAGGTAGATTTTAGATGATGGCATTGTGGAAGGCAAGGCGGGGGAAAGTTTAAATAACGACTTAGATTTTAGATGATGGCATTTTGGAAGGCAAGGGGGGGGAAGTTTAAATAACGAGTTAGATTTGAGATGATGGCATTGTGGAAGGCAAGGGGGGGAAGTTTAAATAACGAGTTAGATTTTAGATGATGGCATTGTGGAAGGCAAGGGGGGGGAAGTTTAAATAAAGAGTTAGATTTTAGATGATGGCATTGTGGAAGGCAAGGGGGGGGGGTTGAATCCCCTTGAGGGGTTTCTCAGTGTTGATCATTTTCCCTGAATGTTTGTTTATGAGGGGGTTCCAGAAGTGACGCCGCAGTACCATTGGGGAAACGGGAAACCGACTCGCCCTCGACGCCGAAAAGTGTTTTTTGTGCTGGAAGTGAGTCAATGTTTGGTGTTGGGAGTGAGTTCTTGGTGTTGGGAGTGAGTCGGTGTTGGAAGTGAGTTGATTTTTGGTGTTGGAAGTGAGTGGTTAACCGTCATGCGAGGCGCAGGTGATTAGCTCTTGAGGCGTAAGTGATTAGTTCTTGAGGCGTAAGTGATGCACGGAGGCGTAAGTGATGTGGAGGCGCAAGTGATGTAAAAGTGGAGGCGCAAGTGATGTGTTAGCCGCTCGAACGAATCCCAAGAGAGACCCAGCGCCTCGAAGTGGTTGTTTCTCGCTTGGTGATATAGGTGCGAGTCAAACTGATTTATCCCCCAAAATGAACGCTGTAGTTCTAAGAGTGGCCAGATTGGTGGGCAAAAAATGGTTACCCAAGTCTTTCTGCAAATCGCCAGGCATGCATTTGATTTGGCAATACATGCATGGGGTCTTAGTCGATTCATTTCGTACCCCTTTACGGATTCCCTGAGCAATCACCATCATCATCATCATCATCATCATCTCATCTTCCTGTAGAAGTTTGTCCCTACTCGTTGCAGGGGAAGATGTTTTGAACAATGGATGCCGGAATATCTGATTTTTCTGATTAATTTTACGCCCTTGAAATCCGATGCTTTATCATGGTCGATCATCATTCCCTCATATAAATGGCCATAAAATGGTGGCGCATAATCCTATGTGTGTCCTATCTCACCCCTCTGTCGTCATGAGTGCAGCTTAGGTGCAGGTGTGTCCGTCCAGCTGCCTGCTCCAGCGTGACAGCAACACAGTGGGACATTCATGGTGGAGTCCAAAATATGCGCCATAAAAACAAGGCTCTTGGCATGAAAGTCTACAACCCTAATTTTTGTTGCTGCTAAAATTGGATGATCTTGGGTGAACTTCGGTTTTGGAACTGGAGCAAAGAATCTGCTTTTCTGTTTGAGGTTCTACTCCTGGTTGACACCATAAATCCACTATCATGGCATGCTTCCAGCCCAGCTTTGATGTAGATTCGTTCGTGGAATGTGGCCATGCCCAAGAAACCGGTGCTGGCAACGAGTTCGAAGAGCTCAGGAAGCAGCTGCAGGTTGGGGGCTGATGGAGCGATGATTACAACAACATGGTTTGTTGCATTACAAACACAGCACAACAGAGCAACAGATAGCGCTGAGTCGCGATGCATGCAGTGTTTGAGTGCATGTTTCCACGTTTTTTAGTACATTAAGAATGATGTTGACTCCTGATTCATGAAATTATTGGGTCCCTTTGATTTCGCGGCTCCACCTGGATCACTTAATGCTCTGGTTTCCGCAAGGTCTGACCCCAAAAAATGATGGTTTTAATTGATGCTGATGTAACTACGCCCCAGCCACCAACCTTCTGGATATGGGTCAAAATTTGGGGCCCCCAATGGTCGATCGGTCACATTGTAAAAAAAAGGCATTCCCTGTTTGAACTATCAAACATCAATAGAAATACCATATACTGATGTATATTATCTACAAAACACATGCATGGCATTTCAATGATTGAATAATATGTATTTTGGCGGTAAATGTAGCCAAATACATCATACACGGATGGCATGGGACAGGCCACCCAGGAGATATATTTCATGTTGCAACAGTGACATGCTACATCCATCTCCCAGCTTGTTGACCCTTGGGCGCAATCGCGCGCCTCTTGCAGCGATTCTTGGCTTCAAATCTTCGACATTTCCATCTTCAGATTGTTGCCTGGCAAATTGCCTTGCGCTTCATTCCGCGGCATCCATGGCTTTCTTGGCACTTTGCATTGCTTCCAACTTCCTTCTCAGCCAGGCCAGCCGGCCAGAACTGGTCTGTCATGTCATGTTGAAGGACATAGCTTCTTGGGACACCTGTCCATATTCCAAGCATTTGAAACAAGGATACAGTCAGAGAATCCGATCCCAAACAAGCTTGGAATTCGCGGCATTTGACAAACCATTTCTCAGTCGAACTTTGTGGCACGTTCGTTCTTAGGCAGACAACTGGGGTGGCGTTGAAAGCACGGCTGCACAAGCCACTCGTTTCTCGTTTTCTTCAGCTGTTCTTCACCTGAAGCATGCGTGGCTCTTTGGTGGCGTGATGCAGGATGAAAACCACCAATCATACCATCCTCAATTGCAACTTGCCCAGCTTCAGGTCCGTTTTCAGCTTGTGGATTGCGATGACATTGCAACATGCATTGAGATGTATAATCTTCTTTTCAGAAGAGTGATGATTATGATCTTTTCGGAACATCTATCCCGAATCTTGATAAAGTGAAATGGATCCACTCGGATTTCATCAACTGCTCGCAGGGGATGGGCTAGCCAAAATGCCTGAGGGATGTTGCATACTTTTAAACATCCCTCTTCTGACGGAAGCCCAAACTATATCCACGTGCCTCCTCATCCCTTTTAGAGGCTGATCTTGATGGCCAGCCTTAGTGCTTAGCTTAGATGCTGGACACCGCCTATAGGCCCCTTGATTTGATAAACCAGGTTTCAAATGGGGCAGCAAAACTGGTATCAAAAGTCTTGTCGTCAACATGGGGTTGGCTACATTATGCCACATTGACATTCCAGATTCGCATGATTTAATGCATGCTATGATGGATGGATATGGATGGTGATATCCGTTTTTACCATCAGAATAGAATAATCCTCGACCAAACCCTGACCAAACCTTTTGGAGTAGTACAAAGGATGAGGATGATGATGATGATGATGATAATGATGATGATGATGATTATATGAAAATGACTGAAATTTGCATACAGCCTTCTTGAAGTTGCCTCCAGAATCTTCAATCAGCGACTTCAGACAGCCCACCACCGACACCTTTTGGGGGTGCAAACCACCACTCGATATAAGGCTTAAAGGGCGCTTATAAACTACCCCTTGGAAGGTGCGGGAAACTTGATGAAATGTCGCCCCGCAAAGACCGAGAACATCCAGCATCGAACATCGCATGAAAACCAAAAGAGAAGAGAAACAGTTGTACAATGAGACAGTGAGGTCAAAAGGAATCAAGCAATTTCAATAGTACAGGCAACAATGCTCATGTATGCTCATTTCTTTAACCGTTCCTTTCTTTCAGTTTCTCCAATGCATGATACGCATGAGTTGGCTCAGTAGGCGGCTCGGTAGACGCCCGGGGTTACAAAACATCAAGTCGTTTTCGGCTGGGAGAAATCAAGTTTTGGAAAAGCTGGATATCGACCACCTTCTGCCTGCGAAGCATCAAAATCTCTGAGGCGGTGCTTTGACATCGAGAAGGAACAGTGGAAGGAGGTTGCTCCCAAGAACTCCCCCAAGGGCAGGTACGGACATAGTGCAATTGTGACTCCGAGCGGAAAGATGTGGATCTACGGCGGTGGAATTATGGATGTGGAAACACAGCAGGACAAGCACCTCGGTTTCAGCGATATGGATGTGGGTCAAAACCCTGTACCCCCAGTGAACCTCAAGGTTGATGGTCATCCCTTATACCACATGATTAGTAGGTTTTGACTCATACCCATATAGCGTGATAAAGTCCGATCATGTCGTACAAGATTTGCAAATGGCCGGGGGTTGGCTGCACACGCGTTTTTTCCGGGTTCGCTGTACACCCGTTCGCGCGGGTGGTACATGCTTTGGCGCTAGTAGTCAAAGGAAGTATCTCACCTGGACCCAGTGTTTTGTCTCGCTTGTGTCTTGTGTTTCCTGTGACGTCAGATGCATGGTGATCGCATGACTTCTTTCTGGCTTTGCTTTGCTGTTCTACTTGAGCTTGACTCTTCTAGTCTAGTTCAACAGTTGCTTTATTATTCTGGTGCTGTACTCTTTTAGTTGCTCTGCTTTTCTAGCTGCTTGACAGTGCCTTATAGTTGCATATAGTTGCTGTATTTGTTTCCCAGGGCGTATGAGCGAAGGTTTCTTCATAAAGAGGGATGTGCCATCTACAATCTACACATTACATTTGCGAACTTTCGCATCTGTTCACCTTCATATTTGCTAACCTTCACATCTGCTCGCCTTCACAATAATATGCTCGCCTTCACATCTGCCCACCTTCACATCTGCTCACCTTCATATCTGCTTGCCTTCACATTTGCTCACCTTCACACAATAATAGAAATAACAAAATAATAGTAATAACAATAATAATGATAATGACAATAAGAATATAATAATAATAAGCATCATCATCCGCAGCAGCAGCAGCAGCAACAGCATCATCAGCATCATCATTATCATCATCATCATCATCACCATCATCATAATCATCATAACCATCATAATCATCATAATCATAATCGTCATCATCGTTGTCATCATCATCATAATCATCATCACCATCAACATCAACAACAACAAGAAGAACAACAAGAACCATAACAAGAACAATAACAACAACACTGACAACAACAACGACAACAACGACAACAACGACAACAACCACAACAACCACAACAACCACAACACAACAACAACAACAGCAACAACAACAACAACAACATAACATAACATAACATAACATCAACATTAATATCATCATCAACATCATCATCAACATCATCATCATTATCATCATCATCATCACCATCACCATCATCACCATCATCACCATCATCACCATCATCACCATCATCACCATCACCATCACAATCACCATCATCATCATCATCATCTTCATCAAAGACATGAACATCAACATGACCACCAGCAAAGCCGCATTGTCAGGAGCGCGTGCGTGCGGTCATTTTGCTCACTAAGCACTAAGCACCTGAGTTGCGTAGGACATCAGTGGTGTAGCAAGGGCAAGGTACGTTAGCAGCCTCCCCCCCCACCATACTCCATTTGATAACGGAGCACTTGCGTTGCGCAGCAAATCAATGCAGTAGCACATGCAACGTGCGTTGACAGTCCCACCCCACACCCGCACCATCCCGCACCCAACCTCATCTGATCACGAAGCACCTGCGTTGCCTAGCAAGTCAGAAAACCCGTGGGGTCTTAATTTTATAAATGCCAAAGTTTCTAGAATGGTGACTCCTGGCCATGAACCCTAATTCCCACGGGGATGTTTTGCCTGCAGCTGTCAAGAAGGCTCTGCTGTAGCTGCGGCGCATAATGGTCGCCTGGGTGCCGCCTTTTGCCTTTGTCTCTGTCTCTCATTTCCCTTATTTTACCTTTTTTCTTTCGACGTTGACATTTTTCCTCATGAATTCAAACTTTCATGTGTTTTCTTTCCGTTGCGTTCTCTCTTCTGTTATCTTTTCCCGGCAGGAAATCTTTCAACTGTCATATTTTTCTTTTCTGTTTTTTCGTTATATATTTTCACTTGGAAAGCTTAACATGTGGGGTTATCCGTTCCTTTTATTTCATGTTTTATCCGAAAGCAGGGATGCTCAGAGTTTATTCTTATAGTTTGTGGTAGGAGAAATGGGTTACCCACAGAGCCAGAGCCCTGAGTTGCCGATGGTTCTGCCTTGGGAAAGGTGATGAAACTTCCAGTTTGTTAAAGCGACATCAAGCATGTGTTTAGGTGCTTCCAAATTTTCCCTAAGGTTAGCGACTGAACTGGTCTACATTGGTCTCAAAGAGGGCGCCACTTCGGAATCGTGGTCCCAAGTGCAGCCCGAGAAAAAACCAAAAGATCGCGTGTTCCACACTGCGGTCTATTATGAAGGTTTCATGTGGATCTTTGGCGGGGCTATGAAGGCCTGTGCTGACAAAAAACTGTTGCTTTTGGCGACGGGTGGACATTTGTTTGAAAAGAATCGGTGGTCGACCTGTAGCTTCAAACCTGTTGGAGTTTGTTTGAGCATCAGCAAAAAGTTCTGCAAAAGAAACGTTGCAGATGACTAAAGTCCTATAGTGCAATACCTCCGAAGGAGCCGGAGACGTTTGGATGTTGAAATCTTTGAGGGTGTCACCTGTTGATGGTCCTCTGCTGGCCCTCAGGGTTTTTTGGAACCTCCGAAGGAACTCAAGGGACCTCAGCACAGTGATACCAGCAATGACATATGTGCCAGCGTTTGCCGCAGGGACTGGCAAGTGGTCCTGATAACACCTTTGTCAACGATGTCCATGCGTTTGACATCGAGGCAGGGTTTGCAGCTGTGATCCAGTTGTACTTCTTTGCTGCAGTGGCGTGAGTCCAGGGTTGCAAATCACGCCAATGAGGCGCCCGGGTAACAACACCAAAACAAACTAGAAGATGGATCATTAGTTCAGACATGGATGGTCCAAAAAAGGAAATACCTTGCTTTGGTGAAATAGTCTACGTTTTTGATTTTTCTCGTTTTTATGGCCAGCGGCCAGCGAAACATAGCAAAACTATAATGGTCGTTTCTTTCTGTGCTTTCACCAGCCAGCCCTGTTCTGGGGTGTTCCAGAAGCCCTCGTCTGGGGTGTTCCAGAAGCAAGGCCATGTTTCCCCTGTTGACCCCAGTGACAGACATGAGAATCATAAACTCACGAACGACCCGAATTTGCTTCAACTACCAGCTTGATGCTGATGCGTTGTCGAACGAGCGTTGTTTGGCTGTTCGGGACTACAGTCTGCCAACAATTAGAAGAACCAAAAACCCCCAAAGGTGAACTTCCCAAGTGTCATGGCGTATGTGTCCCCCAGCACTCGTTTTTTGCGTTCGCAACTGACTGGTCCGAGGCCCATAGTTGGAGCGAGATCAGCTGCGAGGGACAGAAACCTGCACCTCGTCAAGCGCACTCGGCCGTGATCGGCGCAGATGGTCGCATGTGGGTCTATGGCGGCAACGCAATGAGTGGAGGTCCTCCAACAGATAGTGCCTTCTTCAAGGCAACGATGCGTTGCGTTGCGGCATGTCATTTCATGTTCAGCGCAGCGAAAACCTAGTGGTCAATGGATCTCAGGATTTTGTGATGTAATTTTCTGCAAATGGCATTGGTTCTGACATGTGTTTTGTCATTTTCTGTCAGTCACAGCAAGTTGAACATCTGAAAGACAGGAAGGAAGTAAGGACCCAGGGTAAAACGATGGAAGGAAAGAATAGAACGATGGAAGGAAAGAAAAAGAAGGAAAGCAAAGAAGAAAACAAACAGAACTCCTGTCATGCTTCTGGGAAGCATGGTGCCCTTCCGTCAACCAGGAGTCTCCTGCTTGCTTTATTTTAGCCTGCTGCATGTGCATGCGAATGCTGCATGCAAGCAGACAAGAAGATAGATCACACCCTTCGCTTGTGGCCACCATGCATGGGTGATACAATTCTTGGAATTTGTTCTAATGGAGGAACTAGATGATTTCAAGTACTAATATGCAAGGACATACAGGTTCGCAACAAGATCAAATCCTCTCGTATGGCGGCGCCAGGGGCAGATAACATTCTATATCATTTTATACTAGATGATCTGTAAATGATTCCAATCACAGTTGTGCAACAACATCGCATCCTTCGTTTAGTGACCACATGGGGTGATTAGGTTTGGAGAAATAAGTGTCGTTAGCTGCGCAAATACATTGCATCTTTCGTGCCCACTAAGGGAATTTCACTTTTTTTTGGCAAGATCACTTTTGCAGCACCAAATTCGTCGGATGAATCTGGGGGGACGTGCTGCACCCCTGCCCCACTCTCGCAGATTGATAGTGCAGCAAATAGTCTCCAATTCTGATTTTGATTTTTTTGAATTCCTGCCAATTTTTTGCAAATACGGTCAACTGCGCATTTTTTTTGCTTTCACTGAGAAAACCAAAGAAAAAAACAATGAGACTCCCCAAACCCAGGCCCAAAAACAACAATAATCAGGGAAGAAAACCCACATCCCTTTCCAAAAGTAAGAGCTTGCAGCCCGTAAGAAATGGGATCGAGGGAAAGTTGGGAGCCGAGATAGGACTTTTTGACTCGAGATGAGTCCTCGGTTTGCCCGGAGGACCTGCATGTCTTGGACTTGAACAAGAAAAGCTGGTCCAAGGTGGAGACTGCAGGGTTCCTTCCGGGTCTTCTTTTCCACCACGCTTCAGTGATGGATGCAGCGGGCCGTCTTTGGCTAGTCGGCGGTGTGGCATTTGGACAACAACAATATTCAGGAAACGCATACTTTCTCGACGCCTGGCATGGTTTGTTTTTGATTCGTTTATTTTAACAGTTGCTATAAACGAGTTTTCTGTCCCGACATCAGTTGCTTGCTTCGGTAAGTATCCATCCTGGATAGCTATTCTTATCCTGATTGCTTAGAGAACAATCAAAATGATTCGGTGTGCCAGGTTCTGTCGCAAACTTTGTCAGTTTGTCAGGGACTGAACAGCTGCCAGGATAAACTGATTATGTTTTTCTTGTTTGATTTGTTCATGTTCATCATCATCATCATCATCATCATCACCATCATCATCATCATCATCATCATCATCAACATCGACATCAACGTCACCATTACCATCAGCATCAGCATCAGCATCAGTACCAGCACCATCATCATCATCATCATCATCATCACCATCATCATCATCATCATCATCCTCATCCTCATCCTCATCTTCATCGTCATCGTCAACGTCATCAACATCACCATTACCATCAGCATCAGCGTCAGCACCAGCACCATCATCATCATCATCATCATCATCATCATCATCATCGTCATCGTCATTGTCATCGTCATCACCATCACCATCACCATCACCGTCACCATCATTATCACCTTCATCACCGCTATAACAATCACCATCATCATCACCATCATTATCATCATCGTCGTCGTCATCATCATCATCATGATTCCATCAGATCTGTTGTGTAGAGGTTCTTGAGACGTTGTGGGGCTGCATTGTTCTGTTAATTTGCTGAGTTGGCGGTCGCTGCGGGATACAGATCGGCCGAGGTTGTAAATCAGGATGGTGATCGGTGGTCTTCTGTTCGACCTTGCGTTTTGTTACAAATTTTGTTCTAAAATTTGTAAACAGGATTTGTTTGAAGCACGCCGCTGAAAGAGAAATGTACAAGGAACACAGCTGCAGAGAGTTCAGCTTGCATCTAGTGAAAGGCTGGTAAAGATATGAAGGGTGGATGTGACGTGTTGCTGTCACGGGGCCTGTCCATTGTACAACCTCCACCACGGTGTTCTTTGCATAGTGTCAGGTTACAATGAACAGTTTCACATGGAATCCTGGTTTATTTCGATCGATTTTCATCATTCCTGCTTTGTGTGCCACACTGCAGGAACATGATCAGTTTTGCTGCTCACCACATCACACATCCTAAGGATACGACATTGGCTGATGATTCCTGGCATGGGGTGCCGGAGTTCAACGACACAGCCAACCCTGACGCTCCGCCTCTGGACAAGATGGCCTCGCGAGCCATCATCGAGTCTAGCGGCAAGATTTGGGTCTTTGGTGGTATGCGTTCGCAGGGTCGTTTCTCGATATGAAGACAGTTCTGCCAATTTATTGTGTCTGAAGCCATGTGTTTTCCCATGTTTCCCCCTGTTTTTATTTTCAAAATAAATGAACGATGCCTATTTACAGCTTTGGAAATGATCTCGGTCTTGAATTTGTCATCGCGCTTGGTGTCATGTCATGGCTCTGCCGTTCATCCGAGATGCGTCAAAGAAAGATTGGACTATCTATTGGTTAGACAGCAACGCCCCTAAACCAACAAGCTCCACAACCCCGACGAGTCCAACAAGCTCCACAACCTCGACGAGTCCAACAAGCTCCACAACCTCGACGAGTCCAAGTTCAGGCGCCTTGGATTCAACACTGGAACCCGGTTGACACATGAAGTTAGCTCCCCAGTTTTTCAGTGCAAGCTGAGCCGCTTCAGATTGTATTTTGATCATTGGTTTTGGGTGGTTGTTTACCTACAGTCGCTCAAGGGTTGCCTGGAAAGGGCACTTCTTCCCAACAGCGGGGGGCTATTGAGTTATACTGTTCTACTCTCTAGCGCTGGGACTTTTGCATCGTTGATATTGCTTGCCCACGGGCGTCGAAAACACAGAAAGGGGACTGTGGAAGGACTGTGGAACTGTGGAAGCCGCTGGAAGCGCGGAACATTGGAATTGGAACGTTGGAATTTTGGAACATTGGAATGCTGTAATTGTGTAACTTTGGAACTTCGGAACCCTTCAACCTTGGAATCGCCCTGGAACTATCAAAGCTCTGAAATATCGAGACAGAGGGGGACATGGAACCTCGGAACCCTAGACCTTTGAAAGGTTCGGACCAAACTTCACCCTAGAACTGCCTCCTTACGTACCTTGGATAGGTCACGTCGCAGAAACCGGGCCGTTGTATTCAGCTTCACTTCCCAGGATGCTCCACCTTGGAGGGCACTGGGTTCAACTGTGCAGATTCGGCGGGAAGTCTTGTTTTTTGAGAGGTGTGATCATGGTATGATGAGGCTTTGCTATCTGGGGAAAAACGCAGCCTGCAATAAAGTAGTTGAGGTATGTTGAAGCATGATTGGATTTTTATGATGAAGGGAGATGAGGCTTGAAAGGTACAGTATGCTTATGTATAGTGAATCATGATGTCGTTTGAAAAAGTGCAATGAGTTTTGGTGAAGTTTAGCGCGGCAGGTTTGAGGTATTGATTGATGAAGTACGACTTGGCTTGATAAGGTATGATGAGATGTGATGAGGCATCATGAGATATCATGAGGGATGACGAGGTGGAAAGAAGGTAGGCTTGATGAATTTTGATGAGTCATCGAGGCATGATGAGGTTTTTTTTAATGATAGAGTTTGATCAGGTTTGATGTGGTGTCATGAGCTATGAGCAAGATGAGGAAGTATGTTACAATGAGGTAACATAATGTTTGATGAGGTATGATTGGTGCTGATGAAGTTTGATGAGACTATTTGTCAGTGTGACAGGCTATGATGAGCTGTGTACGTTGATGAGGTACGACAACAGATGATCATGACACATGACGAGTTTTGATAGGGTTTGAGGTACTGCAAGTATGAGATATAAATATGGAATATGTCAAAGGTATGATGCAGCATGATGCGGAATGAGGAGTTTTGATCGCTGATGAGGTTTCTTGAGGTGTGAGGTAGGTTTGACTATGCTTGGTGAAGATCCATGAAGTACGATGAGTTGTGATGAGGTTTGACAAAGTAGAGTAGGCATGCTGAGGTATGATCAGGAATCAGGAGTGAAGAAAACTGAAGAGGTATGACAAATGATGGTGGATGAGGTAGGGTGAGGTTTGACAAAGCACTGTAAGGTGCGAAAAGGTAGGTCGGAGTTCCGGAGGCATGATGAAGTTTGATGAAGTTTAGATAAATAACGATTCATGTTTGATGAAGCATAGCAATTATGATGATGTTTGAGGCAGGTATAATGAGGTATGAGGTTTGGTAGGTATGATGAGGTAAAGCAAGGTTTGATCAGGTACAATGCGTGTAATGGTATTAAAATGAGGTACGATGGAGTACGCTGAGAAATGATGAACTGTTTCAAGGTATGTATGATGAGGTTTGGTAAAGTACGGTAGGATGAAGTGTGATAAGGCAGCTGGGGGGTTGGTATGATGAGGCATCATGAGGTACTACAAGGTATGGTCAGGTGTGACAAAGTGTGATTAGGTAGTACCGCATGGTATTCCGAGGTATCAGGTAGGTATGACGATGCATGATGATGTATGACAAAGTCTCTCGTGGTGCAAGGAAGCATCGTGAAGTATGATGAGGTATATGAAGGAGGGTGGCAAGGCATGATGAAGTTGATGAGGTATGATGAAGCATGGTGCGCTTCGATGAAATGATGAAGTGTGATGAGGCCTGACATTTTGCTTGGGGTCTGCAGGTGGTAATGGATGAATCGGGGGGGCTTCAAGCTTTCCTGCTGGGTTGCAAAGCTGGGGGGCCATTCTTGCACGAGCTGCCCCAAAAAAGGACATCCTGTGGGGCGTTTGTTGCTCGAGCTGAGGCGATGGTTCCAAGGCAACAGGCGGCGGAAATGCTGGCGTTGTCATCATTGTCATCTTGCTTTTGCTCGCTCTCGGCGGGGGTGGTGTTTTCTTCTTTGTTCACCGGAGGCGCAATCTGCGGCTCCTGCAGGAAGTGCACGAGCCGCGGCAGATAGAAATTGGTGAACTCCGGAGAGCGTAGCTATGTGACCCCTGCCTTGACAGCAGTCAGGCAGCGACAGCGCTGTGGCATAAGGGGAGCTGTGGCATAAGGGGAGCTGTGCCTATAGGAATGTTCATGAACGTGTTTCGCAGGTGCCTCACATCAGCGCTCGCCAAGTCACAGGCCGTGTAATTTAGAGCGAAAAGCACTTGCTGCAAAAAGTGGCATCTCGTACGGATGAGCTGGTACACAGAGACCACCAGGACCCTCATAGACCATTTACAGATCACCGCAGTGGGGATGTTGGAAGACTCTATCCCGTAGAGTTGTGCAGGAAAATGCCATTGATGGTTTTGCATTCTGAGTGTGAAAGTTTTAGTGTGTGCTCACCTATGCTGATTTTTTCTTACTCATGGTGACGTTTGGTCCCTGCAGGGCAAAGCCATTGGATGCCCGGGCAAAAAAATGGTGATGTTTGGTTATGCTTCATGCGCTTGTCCACCCAGCTGCTGGCAAGCTAGTTCAGCCAGGCAGGTGAGTCTGCAGGCACTGTGCAGCTGCGCGACGGCCTCTCCAAGTGGGATGGGTGGAAGATGTTGAGGATGTTCTCTTGTTCCTTGAGCAGTGGTCTATCGTGCAGGATGTGCATTTGTGGATGCTCCTCACAATCGAAGAATTGAAGTCCAATACAATGTTTAATGTAGTAATGTAGTAAACCCAATAATAAACCAACCCTACTAATTTCACCAGAAATAGGTGCGACGGATACCATCCCAAATTAGGTGGCTTATTATTTTTGGGCTTAGCTCGGAAATTGACATCTTGCACAAACAGGTTGACACGCAGGGAGAGACATGTTGCCGGTCCAGCTGTCCTCCGTTTCCGACCTTCACAAGCTGCCGGCCGACTCCAGGGCAACAGCTCCAGCGGATGTCAAATGTCAAACCCGTAGTTCAGAGAAGATCTGAGACTTTGGAGAGGTGAGCAGGGGCTGACATTCTAGTCTAGACCCCTGGAGTTTGTAGGTATCTTTGGATGATTTTGGATGTTGGGAGCTATCTCTTGGCAGAAATCCGAGAAGTAGTTGCGTGGTACAGCATGGTGAACATGTTTTTGTTGATGCAACATGGTGCAACTTGGTGCGGCTACAATGATCCTGAAGCAGATAGTTCATTTGAGATATTCATCATGAATCTTACCTCTCAAACCATGCTTGTAGAGGATTAGAGGCCTACATCTGTTTTGCTCATCGTTGACTATCTTGCGGGCGATTAATCGTGAAACAAGCAACAGCAGACTGATGGTCCTTAACATTTTTTACGGGTCCTTATATCACAAAGCATGATATTATTTGGCATCATCATTGGCCCTTTGAATTTCACGATTCATCGAATTATATGTTCATCAGCAGCCAGCAGTCATTCTAGTCTCCAATTCAACTATCCGAAATCATTGCATGTGCCAGTCACCCTGAAGCATCACCAACGACCAAGAGTCCTCTTGATGAGGTTGACTCGTTCATCCATTGCCATCTGTTGGTGGCAGCCATTCCCATAGTCTCCATGTATGGAATATTTGATGACATTTGGCCCCTAAATAATCCAAATGTAGGTAAATATGGCATATATGGAGACTATAGGATTGCTGGGGGCACCCATTGCTCCATTTTGGATGGTTCTGAGACTCTGGATGGACCTCTTTCGTTCACAGGCGATGCAGCTGACGCCGGTGAATCCGGTGAGGGCCTCAGCGGATCCGGCGAAGTGGCTGTGGTCAGTCATCGTTTTTCCATCAAACTTGCCATAGCTGGGAAAGGGGTCCCAAATAGATGAGAAAAGAATGGACAACGAACATTCATCAGAAATTCATCAACGCACCTCAGGCTATCCCATTTCGGCAAGAATCGCACACCAATATAGAGAGACCAGGATATATATATATATATATATAATATATATATATATATATCCATTTCATAAGCACCCTGTATTCCCCGATTGCATCCCATAAACTACCCCCATCACATTTTCCCATAGATCCCCATAAGATCCCAAAATACTGCCTTTGATACTCACGTTGATATCCTACTTTTGATCAAAAAACAACCTCAAAAAGTGGTGATATCTCCAATGTGGTTGATCCCAAGTGATATATATATATATATAATATATATATATAACATTGTTGGGGATTATATCCTTTTGATTACCATACGGTAAACTAGCACATAGCTATGGAAAATGGCCCATAGAATTTTGAAGATTCAATGAGTTACCTAATGAACATATTTAAAGATTGTGATTTTCTACAGCTATGCCAGAATAGCTATGAAGAGCTAGCGAATGGATGGTTATTCCCTCAGTCATATGGTAGGTTTTGACCCATGTCCAGCCACTGAGGCCTTGGACGAGATCAGCCTGCGACTGCGCTCGGGCTTGTGTGAGGTGCAGAACGTTCCCACCCGACGAGTGGGGAATCCCAGGGGATTTGGGATGATTTTATGATGATAAATAGGGATTTAGATGGATTTAGTGGGAGGTAATAGGATTTAATAGGGTTTAATAGGGTCTAAGTGTGTGACTTTGCCTGGATTCAAAATTCAGCGGGAGAGAATGGGGATAAATCCAGCGAGAAATTCTTCTATCTTCAGGGCCCCTTGAAAAGTAAAGATTTACATCTAGGTTTTGGGCGTAAACATGGGTCCAATAGATATACCCCTGGTTATTGGCGATGACTGGGTTATACGTTTATACCCCTCCGACCCTCCCAAATGGCTTTTGTTTTCTGAGGACGGTAATGAATAACCATCAAATATTGTGTCCTATTTTTTGACAAACCCACATGAGTCTGAACACAACTCTGGAATGTTTTGAACGTGGACAGATCGAAGGTCGTGGAATGGACACTGAGTGTGTGGTGCATCACATGTGTTGCTCATTTTTGTTGCCATGCTGTTTGAGAATCTTGGGGAAGAAAGTACATGATACCCTCTGGTAATCAAACGTCACAATTGGAAACCCCCTATAAATGGAGGTTTGAATGGGAATATCATCCATGAATGGTGGATTTTCAATTGCCCCGTTTGATTTCCGAATTGCCCCGTTTGATTACCGGAGGGTGGGTGATACCACAGACGTTCACTTTGTTCGGAAACCTGAAACCATAGACAACTTGAGGAAGGAGTCAAGCGTGGCCTGGAGTCCCCAGCAAAGTCTCACCGCTCACAGACGCAATATATATATATATAGTTTGGCTTAATGAGTTTTTTCCTTGGGCCCATATGTTCCATGTCTGGAATATGTACTATATAATGATATCATAATCACGAAAGGTAGCCTCCTAGCGGGCTACCTCGAGTTTTACTTTGCGAAGCAAAGGGGCGGGTTGGACCCCTTATCCTTGAACGACCAGGAGAAAGGGACCCCCCCCTCCCCCCCTCAAAGGGAACTCTCGCCATATGCCGCCTGGTGAGTCTCTTCACGCAGCAGCCCCTTCGCAGTGTCTCGTCATCATCATCATCATCAAACATCATCAAACATCATCATCATCATCATCATCATCATCATCATCCTCATCCTCATCCTCATCACCATCATCATTCGACTTGAAATTCGGATTTTTCGACATCCATTTTCCAAGTACCCAACGGTGCGATGAAAGTGACAGGTTCGAGCATCCATAGGTACCGCAAAAAGACACATTGGAGTTTGTGCTAACACTGACCGTTTTTTTTTTCCCCCGCACGATGTGTGTGTCTGACAATGTATACCTCCAAATGGCTATTTAAAAATGGACTAAGTGATGAGCAACCGCTCTGCTCTGAATGTTCAGTTCCATGCCCCCCCCAAGTGAACTCTCGTCACATGCCTTGTGCGTCTCTTCACGCAGCAGCCCCTTCGCAGTGTCTCATCATCAGCATCATCGTCGTCATCCTCATCATCATCATCATCATCATCATCCTCATCATCATCATTCGACTTGCAATTCGGATTTTTCGACATCCATTTGCCCCGTACCCAACGGTGTGATGAAAGTGACAGGTTCGAGCATCCATAGGTACCAAAAAAGCGACTGTGGGGTTGGTGCTAACACTGACCGTGTTTTTTTTCCCCGCACGATGTGTGTGTGTGTGTCAGACAATATACCTCCAAATGGCTCTTTAAATAGACTAAGTGATGATCAACCATGGCAATCGTGGGGTGCCCTCTTTTCGAATCCAGATATCTCCATTCATTCGGATCCAGATATCTCCGCTATGCTCTGAATGTCCAGTTCCATGCCCCCCCCCCAAGTGAACTCTCGTCACATGCCTTGTGCGTCTCTTCACGCAGCAGCCCCTTGGCAGTGTCTCACCATCAGCATCATCGTCATCATCCTCATCATCATCATCATCCTCATCATCATCATCATCATCATCATCCGACTTGCAATTCGGATTTTTCGACATCCATTTGCCCCGTACCCAACGGTGTGATGAAAGTGACAGGTTCGAGCATCCATAGGTACCGCAAAAGCGACTTTGGGGTATGTGCTAACACTGACCGTGTTGTTTTTCCCCGCACGATGTGTGTGTGTGTGTGTCAGACAATATACCTCCAAATGGCTCTTTAAATAGACTAAGTGATGATCAACCATGGCAATCGTGGGGTGCCCTCTTTTCGAATCCAGATATCTCCATTCATTCGGATCCAGATATCTCCGCTATGCTCTGAATGTCCAGTTCCATGCCCCCCCCCCAAGTGAACTCTCGTCACATGCCTTGTGCGTCTCTTCACGCAGCAGCCCCTTGGCAGTGTCTCACCATCAGCATCATCGTCATCATCCTCATCATCATCATCATCATCCTCATCATCATCATCCGACTTGCAATTCGGATTTTTCGACATCCATTTGCCCCGTACCCAACGGTGTGATGAAAGTGACAGGTTCGAGCATCCATAGGTACCAAAAAAGCGACTGTGGGGTTGGTGCTAACACTGACCGTGTTTTTTTTTCCCCGCACGATGTGTGTGTCAGACAATATACCTCCAAATGGCTCTTTAAATAGACTAAGTGATGATCAACCATGGCAATCGTGGGGTGCCCTCTTTTCGGATCCATGCTTCGGTTGGACAGAAATTTTCCCTTCGTTCTGTCAAAGCGGTGATTTGCTAGCGCATGACGTCAATATTGACAAGCCTAAGGCTTGGTGTCAGCAGAAAAGGGCCCGGTCGCATGTCGGCTTTCGCACTGAGTGATCCCCCGCGTCCCCTGTGACACAACTACCTTTCGTGTCACCCCTTCTCAAGTAATCTACATGTATGATAATTTACCTTGGTCGTGTTTGAAGTATTCCACTGTAGGGTGACCTGCATGGAATGCCTCTTGTTTCACCAGCCCAAAAACCAAGACGCTTCACAGTGACACGCTCGAACTGCGCGCCTCAGGTGACATGGGTCATCCGCGAAGCCTCGAAAAAGATCCGAAGACCGCTGCTGGAACTTGGGCTGCAACAACTGAGGATGAGCCAAGAGAATGTTGGGATTATTCAGGGGGAAACTATCATAGATGTTGGCCAACCTGTAATTTCTCTGGGGATATGTTTATTTGATAATTACTTAAATAATGAATGAGGGTTATCCGATTCGTCCCATTCCTTTCTTCTATGAGAACAGGGAGTCTAATCAGGAGGGATCATAATCAAACTTGGAAAAATAAAAAATAGTAAATAATGATAAATAATGTTAATAAATAATAAATTAAGATAAGAATAAATAATACCAAATTGTAACAAATAATGGAAGCTATCAAAAAATATACAAAAATAATTAAACATAACAAAAAATATTTAAAATTACTGATTCAATTACCTTCCAGAACTGAGAACAACTTAAAAACATTAAGAAAATAGGAAAACGTAGAAACAAATAAAAACAAATAAGAAAACATAGAAAACTAGGAAAAATAGAAAAATAATTAAAAAAATAAAAATAACAAAAAATAGTAATAAATAATTAAAAACAAATAAAAAAATAAAATATTCTGGGGGCGCCGAGGCAGATTTCCTGTAATTTTCTGCAGTTTTGCTTCACAATTCCATTGTTTTATTGCAGTTTGGACTACCCTAGTTCATTTCTGAATATGATCCCTTTGAATATGAGCCCAAAGCTCATTGATGATCCTTGTTCACACTAGATACACCCTAGATTTACACCTTTTTTGGGCCATACAATGGGGGTGTTTGATTTAGTGATCCAATGTATAATTGGTTTGTAACCATGTCCTTTTCACATTTTTCACCTGGATTTGCTGAAGATGTGGTTTTCTCTGTGTTTCCATTGGCTCATCTAGGGCATTTGGGGAACCTACTGAATTTCCCCTCTGGTTAATTATTTAACATAGCCATGGACAATTGCCCATTTATAGATGGTATACCTATATAAAAAATGGTGATTTTCTATTGCTATGTTAGTCATAACCAGATGGTAATTTTTAATGTCTTGGAGCAGATCCAAGTTGACGATGATGGAGGCCCTCAGAAGAGCTGGGCCTGGAAATTCGCCATCAAGAACATCAATGGTTCCATGTACCATGGATGACACTTATATACAATCCTTAATTGAAAACATCATGGTCATCAATAGGTCAATAGGTACCTGGCTTGGTCATCATCATTTTCTCAAGTATATGATGATCATGCCGGGGGGTACACTCAATTTTCAGAGGCACGATTTCACATGATAACCTCACCAGTCATTGACGAGTTGATGTTTCTTGATCCATGAATATTATCTCTTAGGTTGATGGACCTGGTTCCTGGAAAGTGGATGAACTTGATAAGGTAAGTGCTTTGTTAATATTGGTTTAGAGTTTCCAGCCAAAATCAAGTCGTTCAGGATTCACTGTCCCTCCAGTGGGAAACTTGGAGCATTTCAGTGGAGTCTCATGCAGCAATGCCTAGACGTCGCAGTTGTAGCAGGCTTGCTCCAACTTTCCGGCAATAATAGCCACAAGGCTGTAAGTTGGTGATTTGATTGAGTATTTACCCTCTGGTCATTAAGATAGGTATGGAAAATGGCTTGTTTCTAGATGATTTGTGATGATTTGTGATGACTTAGCGGGTCAAAATGATAAATTTCCAGTTTGCACACCGTTAAGTGACCAGCGGGCATATGCATTTACCATCTGGTTATTTAACATAGCCATGGAAAATAACCATTTTTATATAGGTAAACAATTTATAAATGTGCCATTTTCCATGGCTATGTTAAATAACCAGAGGGTACCTGCCCCCTTGTACCCGGGGCGTTGGGACCTGGCTCAAAGAGCCGCTCTCAGGATGATGTGAAGATCCAGCCCCATGTGAGTTGGCAGGGAACCCAGGGCAGAGCTACATGCGTTAAGCTGCTTCAGCCAAGTGTCAACCAGAACTGCGTTCAGCTTTCGAGTTGTTGATTTCCCAGGGGAAGAATATAAGAAAAGGTTGCCAGGGAAACAATATCAATATTTCCAGATTCCAGATGGGAACAATATATCATGATACCCCAGCTTAGTGAAGCACTTCGTTTCTTGTTTCACGTGTTGTGATCCGCCAGGTTTTCGCCCCTCTTCGACGCAGGAGGATGCCATGGACTTCAACTTGAACTGCAGGCGACGCTTAAACTGCGGGGCCCCTTGGGCGTTTTGGTGGTTTCAGCATGTTTCAGCATGTTGCAGCAGCAAACATGTGCTATGTATGTCTTTTCCAGAAACGAAGGTCAACCAAGCCCTCCAGGTCTTCAGAAACATCGACCCACCGATCGAGGGGCAGGAGGTTGGAATATCCGAATTCGGGAATGGGGACATTTGTGGAAATTGATGGGATAGAAAGACAAAAAAAACACGCCCAAATCAAGGACATATTCAATGACATGGATTTCCAAGCAGGTAATTCTTGTTATTGTTTTCAAGTTTTTGGCAGCCGCCCGCGGCCTTGTGCAGGCAGGAGATTGTGCGGTCTACCTGTGGGCGACAAAAGGGTCAAACCTCGTCTACAAGTTGGGCGTTGGGACCAGGTGTGGGCTTTGTCAGATTTCCCAGCAAGGCTTTGTGAATGCCACCTTTGCAGTTGAGAAGTTCGTGACTGTTGCTCACTTTCTGTGAGCGATGACCTTCTGTTTGAAAGCATCCGCTGTAATTTCTTTATTCGCAGCTCTCATTCAAGAAGGGTCTCAACCTAGAGTTAGCCAAGTTGTCCAAGTTGTTTCCGAAAACCAAAACGAATCCACATGAAATAATCAGTACAGAAATATATTGAACGATCATTAAACAAAATAAACAAAGCTGGTGGTGTAAACCGGAGAAGTGAGTGACCACTTCCTGGGTCTCCAGGTGGCAACTGCTTGAGAAGAGGTTCAATGGTCGTGTCCCCTATGGTCGGTTCCTGGTGCAGCCATATGCAGCCTAGGGAGTTGACCCCAAGTTTTCTGCAGCTTTGTCCTGGAATTCTTGGGATATCTTGGGATGTTCTGACAATTGATGACTAAATTAATCTAATTATTAAATACTAGATGTGACTAGATCTGACAAGAATGCTTTTTGGGGGGATATGTGCCAAGTATACTAGGTGCATGCATATGCGGTGCATCTCCAATGATTGATGCTTGAGGCACAACGCGCCTGTGTTTCTTCACCGATCAGATCAAACGCGAGGCTCCATCAATGGATGCTGCGGTGCTGCTGTTGATACAATTACAAGTCGATACGGGTGTGTCTCAAAATTCCATATTTCAACCAACGGATACAGGGATAGAATAAGGAGATATCATGTCCAAGAGTTTTATATATGTTGATTTGCGCTTGAAATTGGGGTATACCCCCCAGTTGTGACCCTTGTCCCCTTGTCAAATGCTTCGCCAGATGCCCTTTCGACAAGTTTAGGAATTCCACCCCCCGTTATGAAGCACCTTCATTCTGTGGCCCCAAATAACTGACTTCATCCCGTACCAAACCATGGCTGAGTCTCAAGGGGGGATTGGGGAAAGGATGACACCTTGCACGTGTCCTGCGAGATTCTGGAGGTCCACAAATTGGAAAACTTGCTGCAGCCTCCCCCAAAACAGCGCGATATGAACTGATCACATGAATTCTTTGCTGCTAAAATTTAAATGGTGATATAATTGATATAATACATTGTTAATCAAAAATAAAAAAATGATGGGATTAGTGCTGGGATATAAGTAATCAACAGAAATATATGATATTTGGATAGCTTTACTTGGGATTTTGTCTGAAACTGGAAAGATTTGATCAGCAATATGATGTGGGCCTGGATTTGTCCAAAATTGTTGGATACTCCAAAACCCATATGCTCCATGTATGGTATATTTACCTACATTTGGTTGATTTTTAGGGCAAAGGTTGGTAAATATTGCATACATGGAGCATATGGGACATGATCCATTTCACTGAGGCAAGTGATGATCAAGCTTTTGATGTGGAGTCGTACGACGGTAGAGAGCTGTGAAATAAGCATGAACCAACATGGTGCATGCATTGTGCGAGTGAACTTCTGCGATGGTACGGAATCTTGACTGATGGAGACGAGCCGTTGTTCCACAGTACTGTATCAGCAAGCTGTGCCAGTAGTGAGGTAACAATAGGTGATGCAGTGATGCCTGAATTTCACCATATGTTGCATGCATACACATACAAACCAAGGGGTCCTCATTGCGTTGCGAGTCGTGGCAGGTCTTACGCGAATTGGAAGCTCCCCTCCAACCTGCCGCCCCTTATCCTCCAGACTGGAGGTGCAAGAGTTGGATGTAGGCGAACATCCTACCATGCCTGGTGTATTGTTATGGCCTCATGGCCACAATCTGGTGTGGTGTTTTCCAGGCTATTGTATGGTATTGTTGGGTGTCTTACATCTCATTATCAAGAAAGCATCTGAGAGGCGGTCTACAGCACATTGTTTTTCGAATGACTCGACGAAGTCTCTGCAAAAGAGTGAAAGTGACAGCTGCGCATAGCTGCACTCAGCAAAGCCTCTAGCCACCTGCCAGCAACAGGAAAGCCCTTGAGGAGCAAGGGAAACCAGCGCCCGAGGCGGATGTTTCCGGCCTGTTTGCGGGGATGGTGCCCGGCAATCGCAAGTAAATCCAGATAATCCAGGGGATGTTGGAGTGATGGCCAAGGCTTGAATTTGTTTCATGTTTTGTTTTTTGTTAAACCTGGAAGAAAGCCCCTGTTGATGAATTCTGGGATTGGGCAACTGGGGTTATATTGGGGCACGTTGGAATGTACCATGGGAGAAGGAGACCGGCCGACAACGCAAGTGATGCCAGAACGGTACACCTTGGATAATTTGCAATGCAAGAGCTAGCTAGCTGCAAGCTTTTGATTCTGTAGGTTTGACTGGTGGAAACGGCAAGGTCTCACACCTAACACCATCAAACCAACATTGGGCTTGGTCTGAGAGTCTGAGATGCTTATACAATCTTCATGTATGTGAAATCAAGTTACCCTCCGTTTATGAATAACATAGCCATGGAAAATCCACGCATTTTTAAGAACAGTAAATAATCTATTTTCATGGTATAAATGGGCCATGGCTTCCATGGCTATGTTAGTCATAACCAGATGGTAAATCACCATCATTTTTTTCATTTATAGTGGTTAAATCCCAATAAATCACAATTTTTAAAGGGCAAATAAATCACCAATAAATCACCCGACATTTTTCGTGCCATCCCTGGGGATATGATCTACTCTGACAGCCAAAAAACACATCTCGCCAGGTAGATCGAGCGTTGGCAAGTTCGGCTCGCAGCTTTGGGTTGGATCATCACGACATGGAAAACCATGTTTTGTGTGACAACAAACCACCATGTGTATATGTGTGTGTGCGTTGATGTTTTCAATGTGTTGTTAATGATTATCTCAAGATGTGTTCAAAGCATTTCAAACAGTATTCCCCGTGAACATGAAATGCATGCGTATTTTCCGTGAGAATCTGGCTATCGGCTATTTCTCAATCATGTCCCTTGGAATCCATGAGAAGACATTCAACGGCAACATTTTTGTTCACCAAAAGATGTCCACATGGTGGTTTCCCAAGTCATGGGGGTAGCGCCAAATCACCCATTTTTCTATAGGATTTTCCATGATTTTCCATAGGATTTGCCATGAGATAAACCATCCAGCTTTTGGGGTACCCCACCATTTCTAGTTCGTTGCTTCCGAGGCGTGAGGACCCAGGGCTTCCCTTGGCTTTGGAAGGTGGGCAACCAGGACCCCCGGACCCCCCGAAATGAATAGATGAAGATCCATTGCAAAACCATGCGAAACCCATAGTTTCTATTTGGAGTTTGCCTGGGGGACTAGGGATTTTGATCCTCAATCATGATACATGCATAAAAATCCTGTGTCAATGGGTTGCTTTGCAAAACTTCCCAAACTGGTGGCCAAGGATTTTGACATGATCATCATCATCATCATCATCATCGACAAGGGATTGTCGTCAACGTTGCGGATTGTTTCATGGCCTGTAGGTGCTTAGACCTGCTTGGAGCTGGAACAGCCAATCCCGCAAAAACGAAGCACCAATGCACCCACAAAATTGGTCGCTTCTAGGGTGTAAAGCCATCCATGTTTTAGGTGATCAATAATCTCGAGCCACTCCAATATTGATTGGTGGTGATATGCAATCCCTTTATTTCTTATTTCTTGGTGACCCTTTCCATATCCCACATGTCCATATACACACACACACATATATATATATACATACATAATATTACATAACCATATATCCACATAACCCAGACATGTCAAGTAAATGGTTGGTGCAGGTCAGCTCTTCTATTCCATGCACATCAACAACCGGCTCTACGACCAAGTCAGGGAGCAAGTGGACTCCATGCGATGTCGGCTGGCCGCTGCCTGAGAGAATATGATCTCCCCGTTCCTGAAAGAATCCTAAGATCTCCCAGATTCGGCGCAGGTGAAGTCGGTGGAATGGAAGATCGACCAGGTGGGGAGGATAGTCAGAAGGGATGGGTCAGCGTGGAAGATGTCTTTTGTCATGGATTCATATGGAGGATACGCGTACCCTAGATATCCGTAGATGGTAAATCCCAAATGGATGATTTTCAGTACAATGATGATGACATATTATAAACTACTGGAGGATGATGAGGGAGGGGTACACTACTTTCGGATGAAGAACCAAGGTCTTGATCCACATTGCTGTTTGTCAGCACTGGCACCTTCTGAGAATCAGAAAAAGTAATCCTAAGTTGAAATCACCTCTGATCGTAAGGGATTTGTGATGATATTACCATCTGGTTATGACTGACATAGCCATGGAAAATCACAATTGTTTATAGGTAAACCGGTAAACCATCTTGGGCCATGATTTCCATGGCTATGTTAGTCATAACCAGATGGTAAATCATCATCAAATCCCCACATATATTGATAGTGGTTAAATCCCAATTTTTCCAGAGGGTATATGATATTGCCAATGGTGAAAATGCTTCATACGATTCTGAGGAATTGGCTCCTGACGCATTGGGTGAGACCTGTTTCGGGTGCGGGGCTGCACGTGTTTCGTGAATGGTGCACGCGGAACTCAGATTGATGCCTGGTATTGGCTCTGATGTAAGAAAAATAAAAAGGCAGAAGAAAATTACTTTACTTCGTGTGATCCCCACCATGACATTTATACATTTTCTTACTGGCAAATCTTCTGGCATTCTATCTGACATATCTTCTGACATTCTATTTGGCATTCTATCTGGCATATCTTCTGGCATATGATCTGGCATATCTTCTGGCATATCTTCTGGCATTCTATCTGGCAAATTTCTTCTGGCATTCTATCTGGCATATCTTCTGGCATTCTATCTGACATATCTTCTGGCTTCTGGCATTCTATCTGGCATATCTTCTGGCATATATTCTGACATATCTTCTGGCATTCTATCTGGCATATCTTCTGGCATATCTTCTGGCATATCTTCTGGCATATCTTCTGGCATATTTTCTGGCATTCTATCTGGCATATCTATCTGGCATATTTCTGGCATATCTTCTGACATTCTGTCTGGCATATCTTCTGGCATTCTTTCTGACATATCTTCTGGCATTCTATCTGGCATTCTTATCTGGCATTCCCATGCATCTCTTGAGGTCCGGCAGGGAACACTTGGCGGACATCGCGGTTGAGGTCCGGCAGGGAACACTAAGGTCCGGCAGGGAACACTTGGCCTCGCGGTTGAGGTCCGGCAGGGAACACTGGGCGTGGATGGTCGTGGTTGAGGTCCGGCAGGGACCACTGGGCGTGGATGGCCGTGGTTGAGGTCCGGCAGGGAACACTGGGCGTGGATGGTCGTGGTTGAGGTCCGGCAGGAACACTGGGCGTGGATGGTCGTGGTTGAGGTCCGGCAGCGAACACTGTGGATCGCGAGTCGCAGTTGAGCAGGAGGACGAGGAGGACAACGAGAGGAGGAGGACAACGAGAGGAGGAGGACAACGAGAGGAGGAGGACGACGAGAGGAGGAGGAGAGGAGGAGAGGAGGCAGGCAGGAGGAGGAGAAGGCAACTTAGATAAAATCTAACAACCCTCACCTGGCAGGTGGGGAATGAAGAGCATATCAATTGATGCTCCCAAAGACTGGTAAGCAGGGATGGGGTGGCCCAAAATCCATCGGCCCCCAATATGCAAAAATAGGTCAGTCCAAAATCCATCGCCCCTATCATACTTTCCATTAAGATTTCTTCGTGGTTATATCATGTCATATCCAATTTCTGGACGCCCAATGTTTTCATGTTTTACCCAGAGGGTTGAAGCAACGCAGGCCTCGTGGTTGCCCCAGTGCTTTCCTCCAGGGGAAGCCTTGTGTAGCGCTGCAGGGATGCCAAGATGTTGAAGCTGATGCCCTTGAAATAGAAAATGATTGCTGTGGCATGCTGTGGATTCACATTTTCAAGATCTCAAGGTTGTCATATTTCATATCATACGTGAAGATGGTCCTCAAATAGTATGTGTACATGTATAGACAGAGACTTTACATTTGCACGCAAACATTCATCTATATAATATACGTATATATATATATATATATTATTATACATACATACATATAGAGGTACGCAGACAATTACAAAGTCTACCCATACACCCACAAAAGAAAATACAGACTTTGTACACATTGCGCCAGCAGGGTGGTCCCGCAACTCTGTTCAAGTGATTGAGCTGTTAGAATAAGGGATTAAGCGATTAAGCTATTAGGACAATCGATTAAGCTATTAAGCTATTACACCAAGGGATTAAGCTATTAAGCTATTACACCAAGGGATTAAGCTATTAGGCTGTTAGGCTATTAAACTGTTTAGCTGTTAAGTTATTAAGCTATTGAAACTATTACAACAAGCAATTAAGCAATTAAGCTATTACAACAATTGATTAAGCGATTTAGCTATTAAAATTAGTGATTAAGCTTTTCAGCTATTACACAAGCAGCTTAGCAGCTTAAACAGTTTAACGACTGAATAACTTAACAGCGTAACAGCTTAACATGTTTCCAAACAACTAAACAGCTTAAGAACTTAACGGCTTAATAGCTTGACAACTTTTCCAGACAACTAACAGCTTGATGGCTTAGCAGTTTAAACAGCTTAACGACTTAGTAGCTTAGCAGTTTAATAGCTTAACAGCTTTGCCAAACAGCTTAACAACTTAATAGATTAACAGCTCAATAGCTTAACAGCATTGTGCTAACAGCTTAATAGCTGATTCGATTCGCGGACTATCTTGCCGGGACTTTGAAAAAAACAGAATACGTACGTGAATGTACCTTTTCGGTTCCATATGTAAGTGTGTGTTCATTTTATTTTATTTTCCGTTCCACACCATAAGGTTCATGTCCAGTATTTGGTTACAAACAGATTTGCCATCACCGCGAGTGCGGGCAACGAGGCCTTTGGCGCAGCGGGCATCGAGGGATTACAGTTGGTCTTTTACCCGTCGGGATACTGCGGAGCCACTGAAGGCGTGGTTCATCACAGAGCTGACACAGGTACCAGGTCCCAGTACCCATGGTTCTGGGTAAACTATAACGATCTCATTGCGACCTCACTGGAAATCATGGTTAATAAGGGAAATCATCCTCAAATGGCCTTAATTCAGGTTAGATACTATTTTGCCCAAATGGTTGTAGTTTTTGTTTGGATTTCGGATCATTTTTGGGTGTTCGTTGATATCAGCAGCTTCAAAAAAGTCGCATATTCCGACAAGACAGTGGTGAGGTTTTTGCTGTGCCATTTGTAACAGAAGTGAACTTGAAGGGTTTCAAGAATAGTGTTGAAATGTTTTGAATGCTATTCCTATGAATACACTTGGAAAGGTTCGTGAACGCAATGAAGATGATTCCCAGACTTATCTCAAGCAAGAAGCGCAGGAAATGATTGGATGTTAAAAGAGATCCAGGTTCAAGTGAATTTTCCTTCAGATCATCTGAAATCCATCCATTGGTATCCCCCTTTGTTGGTTTTGTTTTCCGATGATTACAACAACATGGTTTGTTGCATTACAAACGCAGCACAACAGATCAACAGATAGCGCATATGGCGTGATGCATGCAGTGTTTGAGTGCATGTTTCCACGTGTAGGGTCCATTTGATTTCGCGGGTCCACCTCGATCACTTTGCTTTTGTTTCCTTGGTCTGACCCCCAAAAATGATTGTTTTGATGCTGATGTAACTACGCCCCAGCCAAAAAAAAACCTTCTGGATATGGGTCAAAATTTGGGTTCCAATGGATCACATTGTCAATTCGGCATTCCCTGTTTGAACTATCAAACATCAATAGAAATACCATATACTGATGTATATTATCTACAAAACACATGCATGGCATTTAAATGATTGAATAATATATATTTTGGCGGTAAATGTAGCCAAATACATCATACACGGATGGCATGGGACAGGCCACCCAGGAGATATATTTTATGTTGCAACAGTGACATGCTACATCCATCTCCCAGCTTGTTGACCCTTGGGCGCAATCGCGCGCCTCTTGCAGCGATTCTTGGCTTCAAATCTTCGACGTTTCCATCTTCAGATTGTTGCCTCGCAAATTGCCTTGCATTCATCTCTTCATTCCGCGGCATCCATGGTTTTCTTGGCACTTTGCATTGCTTCCAACTTCCTTCTCAGCCAGGCCAGCCGGCCAGAACTGGTCTGTCATGTCATGTTGAAGGACATAGCTTCTTGGGACGCCTGTCCATATTCCAAGCATTTGAAACAAGGATACAGTCAGAGAATCCGATCCCAAACAAGCTTGGAATTCGCGGCATTTGACAAACCATTTCTCAGTTGAACTTTGTGGCACGTTCGTTCTTAGGCAGACAACTGGGGTGGCGTTGAAAGCACGGCAAAAGCCACTCCTTTGTCGTTTTCTTCAGCTATTCTTCACCTGAAGCATGCGTGGCTCTTTGGTGGCGTGATTGAGGATGAAAACCACCAACCATACAATCCTCAATTGCAACTTGCCCAGCTTCGGGTCCGTTTTCAGCTTGTGGATTGCGATGACATTGCAACATGCATTGAGATGTGTAATCTTCTTTTCAGAAAAGTGATGACTATGATCTTTTCAGAACATCTATCCCGAATCTTGATAAAGTGAAATGGATCCACTCGGATTTCATCAACTGCTCGCAGGGGATGGGCTAGCCAAAATGCCTGAGGGATGTTGCATACCTTTAAACATCCCTCTTCTGACGGAAGCCCGAACTATATCCACATGCCTCCTCATCCCTTTTAGAGGCTGATCTTGATTGCCAGCCTTAGTGCTTAGCTTATATGCTGGACACCGCCTATAGGCCCCTTGATTTGATAAACCAGGTTTCAAATGGGGCAGCAAAACTGGTCTCAAAAGTCTTGTTGTCAACATGGGGTTGGCCACATTATGCCACATTGACATTACAGATTCGCATGATTTAATGCATGCTATGATGGATGGTGATATCCGTTTTTACCATCAGAATAATCCTCGACCAAACCCTGACCAAACCTTTTGGAGTAGTACAAAGGATGATGATGATGATGATGGTGATGATTTGAAAATGACTGAAATTTGCATACAGCCTTCTTGAAGTTGCCTCCAGAATCTTCAATCAGCGACTTCAGACAGCCCAGCACCGACACCTTTTGGGGGTGCAAACCACCACTCGATATAAGGCTTAAAGGGCGCTTATAAACCACCCCTTGGAAGGTGCGGGAAACTTGAGATGAAATGTCGCCCCGCAAAGACCGAGAACATCCAGCATCGAACATCGCATGGACACCAAAAGAGAAGAGAAACAGTTGTACAATGAGACAATGAGGCCAAAAGGAATCAAACAATTTCAATAGTACAGGCAACAATGCTCATTTATGCTCATTTCTTAAACCGTTCCTTTCTTTCAGTTTCTCCAATGCATGATACGCATGAGTTGGCTCAGTAGGCGGCTCGGTAGACGCCCGGGGTTACAAAATTTCAAGTCGTTTTCGGCTGGGAGAAATCAAGTCTTGGAAAAGCTGGATATCGACCACCTTCTGCCTGCGAAGCATCAAAATCTCTGAGGCAGTGCTTTGACATCGAGAAGGAACAGTGGAAGCAGGTTGCTCCCAAGAACTCCCCCAAGGGCAGGTACGGACATAGTGCAATTGTGACTCCGAGCGGACAGATGTGGATCTACGGCGGTGGAATTATAAATTTGGAAACAGGGGTGGACGAGCACCTCGGTTTCAGCGACAATATAGCGTGATAAAGTCCGATCATGTCGTACTAGATTTGCAAATGGCCGGGGGTTGGCTGCACACGCGTTTTTTTCGGGTTCGCTGTACACCCGTTCGCGCGGGTGGTACACGCTTTGGCGCTAGTAGTCAAAGGAAGTATCTCACCTGGGCCCAGTGTTTCGTCTCGCTTGTGTCTTGTGTTTCCTGTGACGTCAGATGCATGGTGATCGCATGACTTTTTTCTGGCTTTGCTTTGCTGTTCTACTTGAGCTTGACTCTTCTAGTCTAGTTCAACAGTTGCTTTATTATTCTGGTGCTGTACTCTTTTGGTTGCTCTGCTTTTCTAGCTGCTTGACAGTGCCTTATAGTTGCTGTATTTGTTTCCCAGGGCGTATGAGCGAAGGTTTCTTCATAAAGAGGGATGTGCCATCTACAATCTACACATTACATTTCCGAACTTTCGCATCTGCTCACCTTCACATTTACTAACCTTCACATCTGCTCGCCTTCACAATATGCTCGCCTTCACATCTGCTCACCTTCACATCTGCTCACCTTCATATTTGCTTGCCTTCACATTTGCTCAACTTCACATAATAATAGTAATAACAAAATAATCATAATACTACTAATAATGGTAATAAGATTATAATAAGCATCATCATCAGCAGCAGCAGCAGCAACAGCATCATCAGCATCACCATTATCATCATCATCATCATCACCACCATCAACATCACCATCATAATCATCATAATCATAATTGTCATCATTGTTGTCATCATCATCATCATCATCATCATCAACAACAGCAACAACGTTAACATCAACATCAACAACAACAAGAAGAGCAACAAGAACAAGAACCATAACAAGGACAAGAGCAACAACAACAACAACAACGACAACGACAACGACAACGACAACGACAACAACAACAACATAACAACAACAACATAATATCAACATTAGTATCATCACCAACATCATCATCATCATCGTCATCATCATCATCAACATCAACATCACCGTCATCATCATCACCATGATCATCATCACCATCACCATCACCGCCACCATCACCATCACCATCACCATCACCATCATCACCATCATCACCATCATAATCATCATCATCATCACCATCATCAAAGACATCAACATCAACATGACCACCAGCAGCAAAGCCGCATTGTCAGGAGCGCGTGCGTGCGGTCATTTTGATCACCACCACCATCACCATCACCATCATCACCATCATCATCATCACCACCATCATCATCATCACCAAAGACATCAACATCAACATGACCACCAGCAAAGCCGCATTGTCAGGAGCGCGTGCGTGCGGTCATTTTGGTATCTAAACGCTAAGCACCTGAGTTGCGTAGGACATCAGTGGTGTAGCAAGGGCAACGTACGTTAGCAGCCTCCCCCCCACCATACCCCATTTGATAATGGAGCACTTGCGTTGCGCAGCAAATCAATGGCGTAGCACATGCAACGTGCGTTGACAGTCCCACCCAACCTCATCTGATCACGAAGCACCTGCGTTGCCTAGCAAGTCAGAAAACCCTTGGGGTCTTAATTTTATAAACACCAAAGTTTCTAGAATGGTGACGCCTGGCCATGAACCCTAATTCCCACGGGGATGTTTTGCCTGCAGCTGTCAAGGAGGCTCTGCTGTAGCTGCGGCGCGTAATGGTCGCCTGGGTGCCGCCTTTTGCCTTTGTCTCTGTCTCTCATTTCCCTTTTTACCTTTTTTCTTTCGACGTTGACATTTTTCCTCATGAATTCTTCAAACTTTCATGTGTTTTCTTTCCGTTGCGTTCTCTCTTCTGTTATCTTTTCCCGGCAGGAAATATTTCAACTTTCATGTTTTTCTTTTTATATTTTCGCTTGGAAAGCTTAACATGTGGGGTTATCCGTTCCTTTTATTTCATGTTCTATCCGAAAGCAGGGATGTTCAGAGTTTATTCTTAGTTTGTGGTAGGAGAAATGGGTTACCCACAGAGCCAGAGCCCTGAGTTGCCAATGGTTCTGCCTTGGGAAAGGTGATGAAACTTCCAGTTTGTTAAAGCGACATCAAGCATGTGTTTAGGTGCGTCCAGATTTTCCCTAAGGTTGGCGACCGAACTGGTCTACATTGGTCTCAAAGAGGGCGCCACTTCGGAATCGTGGTCCCAAGTGCAGCCTGAGAAAAAACCGAAAAATCGCCTGTTCCACACTGCGGTCTATTATGAAGGTTTCATGTGGATCTTTGGCGGGGCTACGAAGGCCTGTGCTGACAAAAACTGTTGCTTTTGGCGACGGGTGGACATTTGTTTGAAAAGAATCGGTGGTCGACCTGTAGCTTCAAACCTGTTGGAGTTTGTTTGAGCATCAGCAAAAGTTCTGCAAAAGAAACGTTGCAGATGACTAAAGTCCTATAGTATCCTATAGTGCAATACCTCCGAAGGAGCCGGAGACGTTTGGATGTTGAAATCTTTGAGGGTGTCACCTGTTGATGGTCCTCTGCTGGCCCTCAGGGTTTTTTGGAACCTCCGAAGGAACTCAAGGGACCTCAGCACTGTGATACCAGCAATGACATATGCGCCAGCGTTTGCCGCAGGCAAACGCGCCTGATAACACCTTTCTCAACGATGTCCATGCGTTTGACATCGAGGCAGGGTTTGCAGCTGTGGTCCAGTTGTACTTCTTTGCTGCAGTGGCGTGAGTCCAGGGTTGCAAATCACGCACGCCAATGAGGCGCCCGGGTAACAACACCAAAACAAACTAGAAGATGGATCATTAGTTCAGACATGGTTATGAACCCATGAATGGTCCAAAAAAGGAAATACCTTGCTTTGGTGCATAATACCGGCCGGCAACCGGCAGCCGACAACAAAAGTATATACTCCTTTGGTGAAATAATCTACGTTTTTGATTTTTCTCGTTTTTATGGCCAGCGGCCAGCCAAACATAGCGAAACTATCATGGTCGTTTCTTTCTGTGCTTTCACCAGCCAGCCCTGTTCTGGGGTGTTCCAGAAGCCCTCGTCTGGGGTGTTCCAGAAGCAAGGCCATGTTTCCCATGTTGACCCCAGTGACAGACATGAGAATCATAAACTCACGAACGACCCGAATTTGCTTCAACTACCAGCTTGATGCTGATGCGTTGCCGAACGAGCGTTGTTTGGCTGTTCGGGACTACAGTCTGCCAACAATTAGAAGAACCAAAAACCCCCAAGGTGAACTTCCCAAGTGTCATGGCGTATGTGTCCCCCAGCACCCGTTTTTTGCGTTCGCAACTGACTGGTCCGAGGCCCATAGTTGGAGCGAGATCAGCTGCGAGGGACAGAAACCTGCACCTCGTCAAGCGCACTCGGCCGTGATCGGCGCAGATGGTCGCATGTGGGTCTATGGCGGCAACGCAATGGTAAGTGGACCTCCAATAGATAGTGCCTTCTTCAAGGCAACGATGCGTTGCGTTGCGGCATGTCATTTGATGTTCAGCGCAGCGAAAACCTAGTGGTCAATGGATCTCAGGATTTTGTGATGTAATTTTCTGCAAATGGCATTGGTTCTGACATGTGTTTTGTCATTTTCTGTCAGTCGCAGCATGTTGAACATCTGAAAGACAGGAAGGAAGGAAGTAAGGACCCAGGGTAAAAGGATGGAAGGAAAGAATAGAACGATGGAAGGAAAGAAAAAGAAGGAAAGCAAAGAAGAAAACAAACAGAACTCCTGTCATGCTTCTGGGAAGCATGGCGCCCTTCCGTCAACCCCTCTCCTGCTTGCTTTATTTTAGCCTGCTGCATGTGCATGCGCATGCTGCATGCAAGCAGACAAGAAGATAGATCACATCCGTCGCTTGTGGCCACAATGGGTGATACAATTCTTGGAATTTGTTCTAATGGAGGAACTAGATGATTTCAAGTGCTAATATGCAAGGACATACAGTTTCGCAACAAGATCAAATCCTCTCGTACGGCGGCGCCAGGGGCAGATAACATTCTATATCATTTTATACTAGATGATCTGTAAATGATTCCAATCACACAGTTGTGCAACAACATCGCATCCTTCGTTTAGTGACCACATGGGGTGATTAGGTTTGGAGAAATAAGTGTCGTTAGCTGCGCAAATACATTGCATCTTTCGTGCCCACTAAGGGAATTTCACTTTTTTTTGGCAAAATCACTTTTGCAGCACCAAATTCGTCGGATGAATCTGGGGGGACGTGCTGCACCCCTGCCCCACTCTCGCAGATTGATAGTGCAGCAAACAGTTTCCAATTCTGACTTTGTTTTTTTTAATTCCTGCCAATTTTTTTGCAAATATACGGTCAACTGCGCATTTTTTTTTGCTTTCACTGAGAAAACCAAAGTAAAAAAACAATGAGACTCCCCAAACCCAGGCCCAAAAACAATAATCAGAAGAGAAAACCCCATCCCTTTCCAAAAGTAAGAGCTTGCAGCCCGTAAGAAATGGGATCGAGGGAAAGTTGGGAGCCGAGATAGGACTTTTTGACTCGAGATGAGTCCTCGGTTTGCTCGGAGGAACTGCACGTCTTGGACTTGAACAAGAAAAGCTGGTCCAAGTTGGAGACTGCAGGGTTCCTTCCGGGTTTTCTTTTCCACCACGCTTCAGTGATGGATGCAGCGGGCCGTCTTTGGCTAGTCGGCGGTGCGGCACCCTTTACTCAAGGATATTCAGGAAACGCATACTTTCTCGACGCCTGGCATGGTTTGTTTTTGATTCGTTTAGTTCAACGGTTGCTATAAACGAGTTTTCTGTCCCGACATCAGTTGCTTGCTTCGGTAACTATCCATCCTGGATAGCTATTCTCATCCTGATTGCTTTGAGAACAATCAAAATGATTCGGTGTGCCAGGTTCTGTCGCAAACTTTGTCAGTTTGTCAGGGACTGAACAGGTTGATGATTTGTTTTCCATCGAAAGATGTGTAAAGAATTGTTCCAAAGATCAGCTGCCAGGATAAACTGATCATGTTTTTTCTTGTTTGATTTGTTCATCATCATCATCAACAACAACAGCATCATCATCATCATCACCATCATCATCATCATCGACATCGACATCAACATCACCATTACCATCAGCATCAGCATCAGCGTCAGCACCAGCACCATCATCATCATCATCATCATCGTCATCATCATCATCATCGTCATCATCTTCGTCATCACCATCACCATCACCATCATTATCACCTTCATCACCGTCACTATAACCATCACCATCATCATCACCATCATTATCATCATCGTCGTCATCATCATCATCATCATGATTCCATCAGATCTGTTGTGTAGAGGTTCTTGAGACGTTGTGGGGCTGCATTGTTCTGTTAATTTGCTGAGTTGGCGGTCGCTGCGGGATACAGATCGGCCGAGGTTGTAAATCAGGATGGTGATCGGTGGTCTTCTGTTCGACCTTGCGTTTTGCTACAAAATGTGATCTAAAGTTTGTAAACAGGATTTGTTTGAAGCACGCCGCTGGAAGAGAAATGTACAAGGAACACAGCTGCAGAGAGTTCAGCTTGCATCTAGTGAAAGGCTGGTATATGAAGGGTGGATGTGACGTGTTGCTGTCACGGGGCCTGTCCATTGTACAACCTCCACCAAAGTGTTCTTTGCATAGTGTCAGGTTACAATGAACAGTTCACATGGAATCCTGGTTTATTTCGATCGATTTTCATCATTCCTGCTTTGTGTGCCACACTGCAGGAACATGACCAGTTTTGCTGCTCACCACATCACACATCCTAAGGATACGACATTGGCTGATGATTCCTGGCATGGGGTGCCGGAGTTCAACGACACAGCCAACCCTGACGCTCCGCCTCTGGACAAGATGGCCTCGCGAGCCATCATCGAGTCTAGCGGCAAGATTTGGGTCTTTGGTGGTGTACGTTGGCAGGGTCGTTTCTCGATATGAAGACAGTTATGTCAATTTATTGTGTCTGAAGCCATGTGTTTTCCCATGTTTCCCCCTGTTTTTATTTTCAAAATAAATGAATGATGCCTATTTACAGCTTTGGAAATGATCTCGGTCTTGAATTTGTCATCGCGCTTGGTGTCATGTCATGGCTCTGCCGTTCATCCGAGATGCGTCAAAGAAAGATTGGGGTATCTATTGGTTCGACAGCAACGCCCCTAAACCAACAAGCTCCACAACCTCGACGAGTCCAAGTTCAGGCATCTTGGATTCCACATTGGAACCCGGTTGACACATGAAGTTAGCTCCCCAGTTTTTCAGTGCAAGCTGAGCCGCTTCAGATTGTATTTTGATCATTGGTTTTGGGTGGTTGTTTACCTACAGTCGCTCAAGGGTTGCCTGGAAGGGGCACTTCTTCCCACCAGCGGGGGGCTATTGAGTTATACTGTTCTACTCTCTAGCGCTGGGACTGGTGCATCGTTGATATTGCTTGCCCACGGCGTCGAAAACACAGAAAGGGGACTGTGGAAGGACAGTGGAACTGTGGAAGCCGCTGGAAGCGCGGAACATTGAAATTGGAACGTTGGAATTTTGGAACATTGGAATGCTGTAATTGTGCAACTTTGGAACTTCGGAACCCTTCAACCTTGGAATCGCCCTGGAACTATCAAAGCCCTGAAATATCGAGACAGAGGGGGACATGGAACCTCGGAACCCTAGACCTTTGAAAGGTTCGGACCAAACTTCACCCTAGAACTGCCTCCTTACGTACCTTGGATAGGTCACGTCGCGGGAACCGGGCCGTTGTATTCAGCTTCACTTCCCAGGATGCTCCACCTTGGAGGGCACTGGGTTCAACTGTGCAGATTCGGCGGGAAGTCTTGTTTTTTGAGAGGTGTGATCATGGTATGATGAGGCTTTGCTATCTGTGGAAAAACGCAGCCTGCAATAAAGTAGTTGAGGTATGTTGAAGCATGATTGGGTTTTTATGATGAAGGGAGATGAGGCTTGAAAGGTACAGTATGCTTATGTATAGCGAATCATGATGTCGTTTGAAAAAGTGCAATGAGTTTTGGTGAAGTTTAGCGCGGCAGGTTTGAGGTATATTGATTGATGAAGTACGACTTGGCTTGATAAGGTATGATGAGATGTGATGAGGCATCATGAGATATCATGAGGGATGACGAGGTGGAAAGAAGGTAGGTTTGATGAATTTTTGATGAGGCATGATGAGGTTTTTTTTAATGATAGAGTTTGACCAGGCTTGATGTGGTGTCATGAGGTATGAGCAAGATGAGGAAGTATGTTACAATGAGGTAACATAATGTTTGATGAGGTATGATTGGTGCTGATGAAGTTTGATGAGACTATTTGTCAGTGTGACAGGCTATGATGAACTATGTACGTTGATGAGGTACGACAACAGATGATCATGACACATGACGAGTTTTGATAGGGTTTGAGGTACTGTAAGTATGAGATATAAATATGGAATATGATAAAGGTATGATGCAGCATGATGAGGAATGAGGAGTTTTGATCGCTGATGAGGTTTCTTGAGGTGTGAGGTAGGTTTGACTATGCTTGATGAAGATCCATGAAGTACGATGAGTCGTGATGAGGTTTGACAAAGTATGAGTAGGCATGCTGAGGTATGATCAGGAGTGAAGAAAACTGAAGAGGTATGACAAATGCTGGTCGATGAGGTAGGGTGAGGTTTGACAA